AATCACGGTGGTTCGGAGCAGACTGGAAAGCCAGTAAGTCCCGATCCACCAAGCAAACTTGACACTACTGGACTGCCAGATAGGTCTCGTCTGCTTGCGATTCTGCAGCCAGCTCGGAGCATGCGATGAAGGTCGCATGGAAAGGTATATTGAGTGTCAACGAGGGCCGGACGTGCACGAACAAGTGACACGCCTCGGGGGAGATCACGCGCAAAGCGCTGGTGCTCCTTGGTATATTCGAGTAATCCAAGCTGTTGGAAATATTCGCTTCATTGGGTCGAGCTCGCCGTCGGCTTCACTCGTGGGAAACTCGTGATCTCTTTATATAATGTTTTTCCTCTTTGTTCTAGCTCATTCGTTTGCCTACCGTACGCAGTTCTCGTACACTGTAGGTTCAAGCAATCTTACTTGTTGTTCTTGAGTCCTTGATCTTCCCCATTCTCGGCTTCTCTTAACACAAACGAATCACCCCCAGTGTCGGTTCGAGTCCGAACTGGTTTTTCCGCGTCTTCTCAGCGTCTCGGTTGCGACCTTGGCAGCGAGTGGTTCGAGTCCCTCCTGACCTAGCGATCTGCGTCCTGCGTTACTACAGCGTTACTACAGCGTCATCTCTGCGACATAACCCCATGGGAAAGAAAGATTCCAATACCGTCATCCTCGTCGAACAGAAAGACTATGAAGACTTCGAGTTTGCGACCCGGGTAAAATTGAAGAAAATGCGAGTTTGGAGCATCGTCAACCGCGAGGAACCCAGACCAGCCGGTCCGCCCACCAGTAAAGCGGTCAGAGCCTGGATTTCACGCCGTGACGAAGCTGCAGCCGAGATCATCGCCTGCGTCGATAAGCAACAGTACTCGCACATTCGGGAATTGGAGGAGGATCCTGCGGCTATGTGGGAACGGCTCCGGGATATATTTGCGACAAAGGGTTTGGGTGGTGTCGTTGGTTTGTGGAAGGATTTCCATCGGGTCAAGATGAGCACCGGTGACGGTGTGTTCATGTCGGATCATATTGCCCATGTTCGCGGTCTTGCTGAAAAACTAGGCCGTCGCTATGGAGATAAGCCGTCGGATGCCCAGATCGTCGCGACTCTCTTGGGATCCCTTCCCGCATCATACAAGCATCTCATCTCCACGTTCAACAATCTCCCCAGCCTTCCACCCACAGTCAACGCGACCGTTGCGGCACAAGTTCCCGCGGCTGCCACCGCACCTGCCGGCGCTCAGCCCGCTCCTGCTGCTGCTGGACTCCAACCCGGCCCTATCGCTGCTGCTCACCCCATGCCTGCGCATGTCCCTCATATCGCCAATCTCCAATATATCATCAATCAACTATTGGCGGAGGAACATCGCCAAGTTGAGGAAGTGAAGGACAAGGAGCGCATACTCAAGGAGGCGAAAGCGTTCAACGCCTTTTATGACGAAGAAAATAATGCCATGCCCGCCCATACCGCCGTTCATAAACCGACGCCGAATCGTCATTCCAGACCAGCTCCCAATAACTCCGGGAAGACCATGATCGTCCCGTTAACTTGCTTCAAGTGCGGTGAAGATGGTCATATGCAGCGCGATTGCAAGAAGAAGGGGGATAGCGTGTCTTTGGCATCCATGATTGCCTATTACCAGACGCGTGACGACCATCCTGAATTCGATGTAGCGGCTACCGGTGTTTTCGCAGATTACGACTCGGATGATTCGACACCAAACGTGGCGTTCTAGATAATTTTCGATTGCGGGGGTGCACGACTAGGTGCACGCGATTCATCCTGGACGGCTTCGCTCGCGGGGGTGTGTTGGAAATATTCGCTTCATTGGGTCGAGCTCGCCGTCGGCTTCACTCGTGGGAAACTCGTGATCTCTTTATATAATGTTTTTCCTCTTTGTTCTAGCTCATTCGTTTGCCTACCGTACGCAGTTCTCGTACACTGTAGGTTCAAGCAATCTTACTTGTTGTTCTTGAGTCCTTGATCTTCCCCATTCTCGGCTTCTCTTAACACAAGCCATATAAAGACCGGGCGGCGCGAGCGAATTAAAAATTCGACGTGCCACGAAATGATAGATCCCAAGCGACCGAAACACTATTGGACTGCCAACTAGGTCAAGGTCGCAACGGTGGAACGAACGCTACTGGAAAGCCAGATAGGTTCGTCCCAACAGTGGGTTGTATCCTGTAACGAAGTGCCGTATACCGGGAATGTGAAACGAGACCATGTATCAATTAGTAGATTGAACATGGTTGAGAAGGTAAGACCGGCCAGGATGAGACAAATTCCCAATGTGTCCACCAATGTAAGACTTCGCTTGAATATCCTACAAATATTTGAGGGGATTTCTGTCACAATGAGCTGGCGGGTCTCGAGAGTGCGTGAAGGCCTCGATCCAAGTAGAATTGAGGTAGGGATGGATGGATTCGGTGCCAGAATGGCCCGAATATGGCCTTGGTACCGCAGGTGGTCCGCGGTAGATGCCAGCTCAGCAGGAGCTGGCTAACGCGTGCAGGCGCTCGTCTGGTATATCCAGATACGCCCAACGCGTGGATAACGGGTGAGTAAACTCCCCGATCACCCGCCGGCCTAGTGCGCGAGTCAAAAGACTAGAGGCGCGAGAGGCCGAAGGTGAGAGTTAGAGGTGAAAGAAGATTGTATTATGTAAGTAAGTCACGGATGTAGCTACAAGTACATCACATGACAAGACACGTCGTGAATAAGTTGTAGACATCAGTAAATATATCGTAAATGGAGATTACCAAAATAACAGCACAACTGGCCATACAAATGGCATACACATGCGTTACACCGGTGGTGGCCGAGTTCGGGCTGTACCCGGCCAATTCCGCATCCAGCTCGAATTGCTGGATAAACTCGACAAACGAGCGGCTTCCCTGCCGCGTCGCCGTCAGGCGCTGGTGCGCCACCTGCGCAAGGTTTTGATCCTTGAACGCGCTCTCCAAATCGGCCATCAGTGCCGAGTGGGTATAGGTGGCGGGAAGTATGCCGGCAGCGGAAAACGTCCGCTTCTTCCAGTTCCGGACCCAGTCCGCTGCAAAGCAGTCCGAGCCGTCCTCGTTCCGGAGGAACGAGATGGTGAAGAACACCTTTTTCTTCTCGGTGTCCAATTCATCGTCGTATGCGGCGATGTAGGTGGAGAGGGTATCGTGGAAGTTATTCCACTTGGCTTTGTTGCCGTTGAAGAACGGCGGGGGGTTGGTGAGGATGACTTTGTAATTTGGCATGGCGGGCCGAAGGGGGATGGTGACGGGTAGTGTGGGAAATGGCGGGTTCGGTGGTGTAGGGGGTCGGGGTTCGAATGGGGATAGGGGTGATGGCGGGGAGGCGGATGAAGAAGATGATGAGGACGAGGTGTCCGATGGGGTATGAGTGTCACGATACATTGCGACGGGCCGGCGAGGTTGTTGGGGAAGGGGATGGGTCGATCCGCACTAAGCGGGTGGTGGGTAGGAGGTGGTTTCTTGCGAACGGAACAGTCCCGGGTCTTCTACGACACCCCCGACGACTGCGAGGCGGTCCTTCCCGAAGGTCAGGCCGGCACTCCTGCGACTACCGTAAGGCGTGGGACGGTCTCAACGTTTCCCGTAGCCTGGTGTCTGTCCGTTATAGTGAACCACGTACTATGTCGATCGCACGATTAACCGTTGCGGGCAGGTAGAGGTCGGAAAGGGTAAATGGGTCTTGATGAAGCGGCTGCGCACAACGCGCAGAAAGGGTAAGAGGTAGAGTGGGGAGGAAAGGGAAAGGATAGGGGTGGTAGGAAGGTATGAAGGGTAGACTTTTTATTATGTCACAACTAAAGCTCGATCTCCGTCCAAGGCGTGCAGTGCGACCAAGGATTGGGGTGTGGAGGGTAAGAGGAGCGGTAGAAGAACTGAATAAAAAGTCTAAAGAATACAAGCGACTGTCTACTGTATTTATACTGTTTAGAGGTCGCTATAATTACTGACTACAATAACGACTTAAGGTCGTGTATACTGCTGAAACAGATCATTCATTAATTATGCGTGTCCGTCGTCCGTATTGTTCGTGTACAATAACCCGTCGTCGTTAGGCGTCGATCACCTTGTTGTGTCGTCGTGTTGTGACGTCATGGGTCCTTCACGTGTGGTACGCGGTCACATGGAATAAATAAGGATACACCGTCGGGTACGTCGGGGATGCACGTGGTCACGTGCGGCGTTGGAACGCGTCAAAGCGTGACAGTAGATGCATAATAATCATGTTTTACCTCCAAGAAAGAGAGAATCCCGTGCGGCTTTGCGCAAGTGACAAAAGCTGTGTGCGGCTCCTGCGCATCCTGTCTATTGAATGAGCGCCTGCGGAGTGAATCTGATACCTGAAAGTAGAGAGTAGCACGAATATATATTCGCGAATATGAATATTCGCCGAAATCTAAAAATTGATATTCGCATTCGTACGAATATTGATGGTGAATATTCGTTGCTTAGTCAGCAATATTCGCGAATATTCATATTCAGCGAGTATATTGAGAATTCGGGGGTTTAGTAGCCACCAATGAGTTGCTGAGGACACTTTTATGCTATCCTGTGAGTTTAAACATCGTCAAAGCCTCATACAAGCCCTTGTCTTGCATGTTCAACCATTTGATGGACCATCACAGTTGCTGTGTTCAACCTGTCACGCAATTGCCAAAGCAAAGATGTCTCTAAAGTTGTTGGTTTGCATATGAATTACAGATCTAGTTGGTGTAAATGAAGTGTATTATGGTTCCAGAGAGGAGACGTGTTGAACAGACCCAAATTTACCATGCTTGATTGAAATTTTAGCCGTGTATGACAGCCACGAATATTCATGAATATCAACTTTCCTGAAAATTGATATTCGCATTCACACGAATAGCACAGCCACAGCAATTCACGAATACGAATATTCGCAATTCGCGAATGGACAGGCACGAATATTCGCGATATTCGCTACTCGTGCTACACTCTACCTGAAAGCGAAAAAGAAGAAGAAGAAAATCATTTAATGACCCGGCCCGGGCTCGAACCGAGGACTCCCACATCACCTGGAAGGTATGGCAGGCAGGAGAGGTGGGTGTGATACACTTCACCACCAGGTTTTATTCTGTACCTCTGCATCTGGAATTTATGCCAATGGTACACATTTTCAGCTGGACGCAGAGCCCTACCCAAAAAAATTCATGTGTGCACAAATGACCTAGCCCGGAATCAAACCGGGGACTCCCACACACATTGGCGATATGGAATGAGAGGTGGGTGTGATACATTTCACCACCAGGTCTTATTCTATGCCCTTGCGCCTGGAATACATGCCAGACTTCTTAGAGTGAGTCCCAAAAATCAAAAGAAAATGAGCCTCAGCAAACACAGAACCTGGCCCGGAGTTGAACCAGGGACTCCCACTGCCACTTTTTTACGTCGCACGAAGGAGAGGCAGGTGTGAAGCATTTCACCACCAGGTCTTATTCTGCACCTTCACACCCATAATATATGCCAGACTTTTAGAGGGAGTCCCAATTGCAAAATCAAAATCAAAAGAAATTGCAAGAACACAAAGACCTGGCCCAGAGTCAAACCGGGAACTCACACTGACACAAAATTGCATGACATAAGAAGTGGGTGTGATGCACTTCACCACCAGGTCTTCCTTGACTGGCATTGCATCTTGGATATATACCAGACTTTTTGTCCATCAAAAAAGCAACTCAAAAGTATGGAATGACCTAACCCAGACTCGAACTGGGAACTCCCACCCACAATGGGGATACTAGGGCAACATGAGAAGTGGGTGTGATGCACTTCACCACTAGGTCTCTTTCCATACCTTTTCAAACTTGGATTGATGTGAGAGTTCTGGCAGCAGGCAACAAAAATACAGTACAAGTCAAAGACCAATGACCCGACCCGGACTCGAACCGGGGACTCCCACATCACTTAATTCATAGACACAACAAGAAGGAGAAGTGGGTGTGATGCATTTCACCACCGGGTCTTCTTCACTACCTAGACTTGCACTGGAATTTACGCTAGAATAAATTGCTACTACTGTATACTTTTTTGTTCAATGCAGAGTACAACACTGTCTGTCTCCACCCAGCGGCTTTTTGATGGCATTGTATTCTCATCTTATTCTCATTCTATCATACTTCGTCTCTGCTCAGCGTCATTGAATCATCATAGCCTCAGTGAAGCGAAACCTGCAAATAAATAAATAGAGCAAAAAAGCACGGTGCAAATATGAATGACCTGGCCCGGGCTCGAACCGGGGACTCCCACTGCTACTGTTGCGGTTGTTCAACAAGCAGTGTGGGTGTGATGTACTTCACCACCAGGTCTTCCTTGACTGGCATTGCATCTTGAATATATTCCAGACTTCTAGGGTGAGTCCCAAAATTCAAAATCAAAAGAGATCATGGAATATTGGACAACCTGGCCTGGAATCGAACCAGGGACTCCCACTGCCACTTTTGCACCAGTTCAATTGTAAGCAATGTGGGTGTGATGCACTTCACCACCAGGTCTTACTCTGTACCTTTGCATCTGGAATTGATGCTAGAATAAAAAAACACTACTGTGTACTTTTTTGTTCAATGCAGAGTACAACACTGTCTGTCTCCACCCAGCGGCTTTTTGATGGCATTGTATTCTCATCTTATTCTCATTCTATCATACTTTGTCTCCGCTCAGATTGAATCACTATAGCCTGAGTGAAGCGAAACCCGCAAATAAATAAATAAAGCAAAAAAGCACGGTGCAAATATGAATGACCTGACCCGGACTCCCACTGACACAAAATTGCATGACATAACAAGAGGGTGTGATGCACTTCACCACCAGGTCTGCCTACCCCATATTGCAGCTGGAATATATGCCAGACTTTTAGGGTGAATTCCAAAATTCAAAACCAAAAGAGATCATAGAATATTGGACAACCTGGCCTGGAATCGAACCGGGGACTCCCACATCACTTGCAAGGTCAACGCGAGGGGTGGGTGTGATACATTTCACCACCAGGTCTTATTTGAGGAATGACCAAACTAGTGGAAGTGGAAGTGACTTTCACTTCCACTACCGACTCGGGCCGAGTTTCTAGTGGAAGTGGAAGCCACTTCCACCCAGATCTCGCTTCCATCCAATGCTTCCACTTCCACCGGGTCTTGTCACACCCTCCCGCCTTGATGCCGCCCGCCGCCCTCCCGCCCATACACGTGGTCAAGCGTACCGGGGATTTCCGGAGTTCGGCACAAGGAGGAAACCGCCGCCATATCTATCAGTTCGTTGCTAGCAGAATATAAATATATTTTGTTATCTCATCTCAGGTATGTATGCGTGTGTAAAAGAAGATAATACAAGTACAGGATCTACCATCTTCGAGGAAGATACTCCGTTGAATCTAAATTGTCGTACAAGCCTTGTGGAAGTCCTAGCGGTTCGAATATGGCATCAAGCTGGAAATTGTAGTCTGTTTTAACACCAGCTCGTTCAGGGAGGTAAAGTGCCAGGGAAGATGTTCGGTCGTGGGAGGCTGAGAGAACTCGGGCTCGCCCTCCGACTCCGATAGGCCGGCAAATGGCGGGAGGAGTTGTGAGAAGTTGAAGACGGGGAAGGGGACACAATTTTACGGTGGCATGAGGAGATACAGGTCTTGCCGGCAATTTTTCTGGACCTACAGGCTCAGCCAGAGCATAGATTTCTCGATCTCTAGCCACTGGTCAGTGTTTCTTCCGCGTAGCGTCGGGGGGGACCGGATTCCATCGAAAGGGTTGGAAAGGAGGAAGGGCAGAGAAAGGATGGTTGTTACAGCACAGCGCAGAATATGGTGGTGGCATGGCATTGAACAATGTACTCTACCAATTGCTAAATTGGGAACGCGCCGAGGCGCATCAGTGGCCTGAAAAGTCGTGGCCGTCACATCATGTTGTGGGTGACAGCGGCACGACCACTTCCACTGCCGGTCACTTCCACTTCCACTGGCGGGCACTTCCACTTCCACGGATCCACTTCCACTTCCACTACTTCTGTACTTACTCGTCTTATTTGGTACCTTTGCGCCCATAATGCATGCCAGACTTTTTGTCCATCCAAAAAAAAAAAGTTTCGAAGCATTGTATGAATGACCTAACCCGGGTTCGAACCAGGGACTCTCACTGCCACTTTTCTGTTCTGAGCAGTGTGGGTGTGATGCATTTCACCACCAGGTCTTCTTCACTACCTAGACTTGCACTGGAATTTACGCTAGAATAAAAAAACACTACTACTACTGTACATTGTTTTGTTCAATTGGAGCGAATGCAGAGCAGAACACTGTCTGTCGCCCGATGCCATCCAGCGGCTTTTTGATGTCATTGATGTTGTATTTTATTTTTGTTCTACATACTAATTGTCTCCGCTCAGCATGATTGAATCACCATAGCTTCACCATCAGGTCTTAATCTGTACATTTGCACCTTGAGTATATGCTAGACTTTTTAAATTTTAAATTAAAAGAGATTGCGAGAACGCAAAGACCTGGCCCAGAGTTGAACTGGGGACTCCCACATCACTTACTTAATGCCAAAGAAAGAAAAGTGGGTGTGATACATTTCACCACCAGATCTTATTCTGTACCTTGAGACCTACAATATATGCCAGACCTCTTAGAGTGAGTCCCAAAACTCCAAAGAAAAAGAGATTGTGTGACACAGAACAACCTGGCCTGGAATCAAACCGGGGACTCCCACTGCCACTTTTTTTACATCGCCATGAAGGAGAAGTGGGCATGAAGCACTTAAACAACAGGTCTTCTTTACTGTCCTCGAATCCGGAATTGGTGCAAGACTTTTTACCCACTTAAAAGAACGATTTGAAAAGGTAAAGACCTGACCTGGGCTCGAACCAGGGACTCCTATTCAGATAGCACTCCTTTATTCTAATGAAAAGTAGGTGGGATACATTTCACCACCAGATCTTATTGTACCTTGCACCCAAAATATACATCCCAGACCTTTAGAGTGAATCCCTAAATGCAAAATCAAAAGAGATCTGCGGAACGCTGCACAACCTGGCCCGGGCTCGAACCGGGGACTCCCACCGACACAAAATTACGTCAAACGATATAAGAAGTGAATGTGATGCATTTCACCACCAGGTCTTCCTCGCCTCTCTTTGGACCCAATATATAAGGCAGACTTTTAGGGTGAGTTCCAAAGTTCAAATTCAAAAGAGATTTGTGGAATGCAATTCCAAAAGAGATCATAGAATACTGGACAACCTGGCCTAAATTGAACCAGGGACTCCCACATCACTTGTGAGTTGCATTGAACGCTAAGGAGAAGTGGGTGTGATGTGCTTCACCACCAGGTCTTCTATTCTGTACTTTCAAACTTGGATAACTGTGAGAGTTCTGGCAGCAGGCAGTAAAAACATGGTGCAACCCAAGGGTCAATGACCTGGCTTGGACTCGAACCAGGGACTCCCACATCACTTGCCAGGTATCGCAAAGGAGAGGTGGGTGTGATGCACTTCACCACCAGGTCTTTTTTACCATCTGTGCACCCATAATATATGCCAGACTCGCCGTCTGCCGCCATTCAGCAGGTTTTTGACGTCATTGTTTTATTTTACTTTGTTTTTACTCAGAGTCATTGAATCACCATAGCCTCAGTGGAGTGAAACCGAGACCAATAAAAGGCCAAAAGAACAAAGACAGAAAAATAATACAATCCTCGAAGCAAACAATGACCTGACCCGGGCTCGAACCAGGGATTCCCATCACAATGGAATAAAATGCAGTATGAGTAGGTGTGATACATTTCACCACCAGGTCTTATCTTGAACCTTTGCACCCATGATATATGCCAGACTTTTGGTCCATCTAAAAAAGATAAAGAATCAATATGAATGACCTGGCCTGGAATCGGACCCGGGGACTCCCACCCACACTGGCGATATGGAACTCTTGTATATCCTCCACTGAGAAGGTGGAGGGTGGGAAGAGGGGGGAGAGACATGATGTTGGTGAAAACATCCTAATTGGCCATATTGCCGTATTGTTCCGCCATCAGAAGCCGAGTGCTCGGCAGTCATTCGTTATTCGTTATGTCGAACTCCCAAATTTTGTGGAAGTCTTCAGCGTCCGCAAGTGCTGCAAAGCTCGTCGTGACTGCTGCCCTCCAAAAACACTCAATCCAAAGTGCCGCAGGCTGCATTGATGGCGGCTCGCACATTGCCGCCGCACTTGATACCCCTGACTCGGACGATTCGCAAGTGATGGGAATCGTTATTGGACTCCTTGGCGGGAACCTGTTCGGGAGAGTCGATGGGTAGAACTCGATCCCATCAAAAAGATACCCGAACTGGTGGGAGTGCCAGTGCCGACGGCCATCAAAGTCGGCCGTAATGGAACCCGCCAGATCCCGCCGTCCCGCTCAGTGTCCATATTTATTTCCCATTCATAAGTACTGTGTATCAGAATGAAATCTTGCTAAGAACTCATAAACCAAAACCAATGGTTATTGATCATGAAACTAATGTGGACGGTAGGACCAGTATTCATACATTTGATGTGAATGATTCTCCTTGGTTCAAGCTCATTGCAAATACGTCCTATCCCACTACTGCTAGCACTTGGTCGGCACTGATAATGTAACTCTACTAATATTCCCCGTATCTGCAACAGATCTAAGGAGAAAAAGATCAATGATTGGCGGCGAACTTTCGTCGCAGGGAGTAGGAGATTGACCGCGCGATCCAGAGCAGTTCATTTGGGCGAGTGCCCCTGTTCTGGATCGGGCCGGCGGGCTTGTCACTCGCCGGTACCGTCATCTCTTCCAAACTGATAACTCTCCCAATTTTTGGCATACTCGTCAGATTTGCTCTGACTTACATATCTGCCTTTCATACTGTATTACATGCTCGCTCATCATTTCTAGTATTTATCCAGAGTCCTCTCAACTAGTCTACCTTATCAGGCTGTAATGACCCTACCCAGAGTTAAACCTGGGACTCCCACATCACTCACAAGGTTCTCATGGCAGGAGAGGTGGGTGTGATGTACTTCACCACCAGGTCTTCATCTTCACTATCTAGACTTGCATCTGGAATATAGTTTCTGCAAGAATAAAATGCTCCCACTGTATACTGGGTGACTTCCCGTAAGCATTAAATATTCCCCAGGAATATTTTTCGTACTTGCCGACGTGATGCGACGTCAACTGCCAGGACCCCATCAATTGCATCACCCCAAAGCGATTGTGATTTATTCTCCCATCAGTCGAGATATGCTGAATCTATTCGGGGGTACCCCCCCCTCGAATAGACTTTCGTATCGTGGAATATCCCGTTTAAGCACCAAATCACTGATTGTCACCTCCTGTCACTCCCGTCACAAACGCTACGTCCTCACTTGCAAGCGCACCGTTCGTATATAACGGATCTTTCGATGTTTTAACTCTACCCTAAGTACCCTGCATTGATCCCTGCCCAAACCCCAGTTGTTCTTGCCATTTCCCCCCTCAAAATTGATGCCACATCATTTTTTCAGAGTGATCCCTCTCGAGCCCACTTTGTAGTCCCACCACTCCTCGTGCTTATGGTGTTTTAATTTTGAGATGACTCTGGTGCGAGAAGATGCTCATATGGTTGATTTTTCCACTTCATCAAGAAGCAAATATATCATTTTACAAACAGCGCGAATATCTTTTCTCTTTGATCCTATCACTGGCACCCTCAAAAAAGCTCAGAAATTGCACTGGAATATTTTAACCTTACGGGAAGTCACCCACTTTTTCGTTTTAATTCAATTTACATAAGCGGAGACCCAATGATTTTTGTTCTCAATTTCCGGGAATTCTTACAGGAGAAGAAAGAATGCCTCCCACCGTATTGGCCACGGTCAATGAGGCAAGGCAAGAAATGGATGTCCCCATGCCTCGGATTCCGATCCGCGATGCCGTGACTTTCGTTGGAGGTCGTATTCTGTTCGTATGTCATGCCCAGCCAACTAGGTAGGACGGCCAGGTACTGTATCTTTCCCTTCAAATTGGCAGTCCCAACGCATCACGCACCCCCTGTCGATCCAAGCGACGCAGGGTACCGGATATCAATGCAGCCGTCCTATGGGCCTGCATGTGCACGGATATAGGAATTTAGAGAAATTGGGATTGAGTCCGACTGGCACTGTTCTCGAGGGTTTTATAGTTTGAGTACATAAATGATAATTACAGCTGTTTCCGAAAAGCTTGAGACAACGTGAAATTTTTTGCGCACTGCTAAGGATTACCGGATATGGCACGGATCAGCTGCCGTTTTGGGATCGGCACAGCCGAGGTCTAACATTTGGGCCCCTGGACCTGCCTCACACTTTCAGGGACCTGTGAGATTCACGGACCGTACAAAATACCACTAAGGCAGTACTATGAGAGGGAGAGCTCTCCGAAAGAATAAAATCACGGGGGCCAGCAAAATCGACGGAAGCGACGGCTAGCGACGGCAATCTCGGCTGACCATCCAAAACCAGTAATCCTTAGTTTTCCATCAAAGTTTTGTGCATGCAAAAAATTTCATGTTGTCTCAAGCTTTTCGGAAACAGCTGTAAACAAAGCTGCCGGCTTGTCTCTTCAAGTACTTTGGCGCGTCGAGACACATTGAAGGGAGTTGGACGCTCGGCTGGATGTAGTGGAGTGGGGTTCGTCGACACGGAGCGGCTCCGAAACCGACCGCTTGGAAAAGACGGCACATTCTCAAAGCGGAAAGTGCCGCCTCTGGATCGAGAGGCGGCATATTGATTTGATGTGCCCCCTCTCATCCCCTCTCGCATAAATTTCAAGTCCATATCTTGTATATCCTCCACTGAGGAGGTGGAGGGGGGGAAGAGGGGGAAGAGACACGATGTTGGTGTTCGGGGGGAAAACTTCCTAATTCGGCATATTGCCGTATTGTTCCGCCACCAGAAGCCGAGTGCTCGGCCGTCATTCGTTATTCGTTATGTCGAACTCCCAAATTTTGTGGGAGTCTTCAGCGTCCGCAAGCGGCAAGGCACAACTTGCTACCAATGGTGCAAAACTCGCCGCGGCTGCTGCCGCCCAAAAACACTCAACCCAAAGTGCCGCAGGCCGCATTGATGGCGGCTCGTACATTGCCGCCGCGCTTGATACCCCCGACTCGGACAATTCGCAAGTGAAGAATTACGTGCGGATCGTTATTGGACTCTTCGGAGGGATTCCGTTCATTGTGCACCTCCTGTTCGCAATTGGAGTAGCACTGTGCATGAAGCGGGGTGGGAGAAGGGTCGTGAGGGCGGAAGTATGCAAAGGTGCGATTCATGCGCTGGACTATGATTCGGAGGATAAGCGCTATTCGGACTAGATAATTGACGCGGTTTAGGTCCGGAATTTCATGAACCTATGTAACCGCTCGGTAGAGGAGTGGTTAAGTAGGTCCATATCTTTAGAGGGCTGACGCGCCCATAGTCGCAAACACAGTCTCCGAAGAATTTCCATTTTCGTGCCGTGCTACAGTTCAATTTGACTCTATGAATGTGTCGAATTTTTTTTATTAGACTCCGACCTCTAACTTAAGATATGATCAACGTTAACGCGGTGTGTCAGAAATCTTGGTAATGGGTGACAAAAACCAGATCGAACCCTCGACCACCGGCAGAGCGAAAATCTAGCCATTTATACAGCTAAAAATTTATAGCTACATTTGCTGTTGGAGTAATTAGACTCCGCCAAACCGGGGTTCAACATCGACTAGGTGTGTGACGCAGACGGTTGAATTGACCGAAATAGTAGCATCACATGCTCATGAGTCAATGACCGTGATGTCCGAATCTTACAAACCAGAGATTGCGCCATTTGGAATACACGCTTCCAGCATAAATAACCTCTATCTCAGTACTTCCTTCGCTCACCCTAACATGACGACCCCCGCTCCCACCATTGGATCCGGAATCACACTCTTCACAGCAGCAACTCCCAATGGATACAAGGCATCCATCGCGCTCGAAGAGCTCAAAGCCATTGGCGCGATCCCCTCGTTCGTTTCTTCTCTGTGCCGTCCGCCCGAGAGCCGCGACTAACCACGCGGCTCCGCCAGCTATTCGTTTGTTTCCATTTCATTCCAGAAGAACGAACAAAAGTCGGACTGGTA